GCCTGTATTTTTCTTTTCTCGCTCGCTCGCTCTCTCGTTCGTTCGTTCGTTCGCTCGTTCTCTCTCTCTCTCTCTCTCTCTCTCTCTCTCTCTCTCTCTCTCTCTCTCTCTCTCTTTCTCTCTCTATTTTCAGGTGGTATCGACCAAACAGATGAGAACATAACCTTCATCTACGTCTGTTCCTAACTTCTCACGACTGAAAGGGATTGGCGATGCAGAGTTCACTGTTCACTATCGTCTGTCTTCTGATAGCAACTGTAGGATGTGTGGGATGGGCACAGGCTGGTGAGTGCTCCACAGGAGTGGGAAAAGACACGAGAGCGTTTTCTCTGATATAGATGATGTTGTTTACGCCTCCTTTGTTTTTTGTTGTTGTTTGTTTTAGGAAGGTTTTAGAGTGCTCGCATAAGGTCATACGAGCGCCAAGAGGTGGATGTCAACAAAGAAGTCTAAAATAACAACCATAATAGGTGACAGTCTATATGTACCGGTATATATATACTCGTTTTATATCTATCTATAACATGTATATATATATATATATATATATATCAAGGACTACTATACTCATATATATATATATAATATTAGTTTTAGAAGCACTTGACGGCAAGGTGGATGTGCAATCTCTGGCTCTGAAGTCAACATGCTCTGACCCTAAAATGCTCACGGTCGCAGGCTGCCGTTTTACATTCGGCCATACTCACACCTGACCTTGCCTTGATGTTGTCCGTCCATATTGCTCCTTTTCCACCCCCTTCCCCCCCCCCCCCCCCCCTGGCCTCACATCCTGCCTGCACACACTTCAATATCACAACACCAGGGGCTCAATACATTATGCGGCAGACTTATTTAATGACAGAAGGGTCACGTTGATAGTAGGAAGTTAAAGGAAATTAATTAGTCGCTTTTGAGGACAAGCGGGCTAACCCAGATTTCGACTGTTTCCAGAAATCTTGACCTATACCAAAAGTGGACATTGCTCGACCTATAGGAGAAGTTTGGTTTCATTGGCGTGTATATTTGTTTACTTATAAAGAAAATTCTCCTTGTCTTTTAAAGAAACTGAACAAGGGGCAAACACTTTACAATCATTTTTCTCAAAACAGCATTTTTTGGGATAGCCCCTTGTGTTTAAAAGCGGCCTATTGGTTTCTACAGAAGTGATGCGCTTAAATTTGAACTCTTCGATGGTATGCATCATGTATTGTTTCAGAAACGGATGCTTGATAAAGATAATTTACCCTATTATGGTTGGTGTTGTTTGGTTTGTTTTTTTTACCTTTGGACTAATTTCAAAGTACTGGCGTTAGCTAAGTCAGAGGCTACATTTAATAATGGTCTTCCCTTTTCCAGCTACCTTGACGTTTGATGCCGATGTTCCGTTGTGCCCAACAGAAGACTGTAACTGTGCTAATGGTCACTTCAACTACTTGGACGCTGCTAATAACTGCACCAGGTAAAGTTGATCCTGCTCTTCTTTTTGTGTATATAAAAAAAAGAAATTGAAATATTCCAATAATCTGTACATAGTAAAAGTAAAGTTGTTCCCGCATCCGATCCGGACATTGGGGATTGCCTTATCACGTGAGACACCTTCCTGGGCCTTCGGCATTTTGTGGTAGGGTGGCCAGTTCATTTCCACGCCGCCTTTACTTCCCCAACTCGAAGTCAGGTACCCATTACTGCTGCGCGGGCAGGAGGGGGCGAAAAAAATCCGTGTCCGAAACGAGGCTCGAACCCGGACTTTCCGCTTCGGAGACGAGCGCACTAACCACTCCGCCACCACACCCTCTCTGTACATAATAGAATTTTAAAAAAATACGTTTGAATGTTTTCCTGATTGGGTTCTGAGAGAATATTATATTGCATTGTCGATACAAGGGAGCGATTAGATGCTGTCGTTTCAAGATATAATACATGTACAATCAAACCTCGTTATACCGCCCCCCCCCCCCCGTTGTACTGACAGCCCCGTTTACCACCAGGTCTTGCCAATGTACAAAATTATAAACATAGTTTGCGTTTTCACGTCGCTACTCGCTATCCGCCAATTGTTTGAATTGCGCGGTCCTTTTAAACTAATGTAAGTTTGCCCCGCTGTACCGCCACCGAATTGTTAGCCAAAGGTACACGTACAGCACACTACACACTACACACTTCACACTACACACGACACACTACACACGGCACCCGGCACCCAATCGGTGGCTACATGACAATCTCTTTCTCATCAATCGTCTCTGTGAATTATGCCGTTTGTCGTAGGTTTACCATTGATTTGCGATGATTATGCAAATTTATTTTAACCCTCCCCCCCCCCCCCAAATTCATTTGTCTTTTCATTTTTTTTATC